GGGGGGGGGGGGGGGGGGGATAAATTAATTAGTGTCAGTTTATGAAACTGTTGACGTTTTGCTGGCAGAGATCAACTGTTTCTTTATAGTTATGCATTATCAACTATAAAAGTAGCGCTACAGTTGGTTCAAAATATTTCAATTATGAAGACTAATATTTTTTACATATTTTCTCTTCATTCTCCCCTTCACTGCAATACTAAGGCTTTAGTTGCCATTTCTTCATTTTTTCATTTTTTATGATTACAACTTCGGGTCAACTTTGGTAACTGCACATGATTACACAGGCTTTTTGTTTTAAAGATTTCGCACCTTGCTCAATCTCTGAGCCATTTCTAAATGTATTAACAGGCATTTACTGGAAACGTTGTGGATTGACTTTGGACTACGCTATCAATAAAAAAAAAGCCACACATTATTGAAGTGGGAATACAATCTTTTTGTATTCCACTACTATCATAAAGGTATAACATTCATTCAATCTTATGGTCGATAATGAATTATTGTTTTGATATTTATGTTTAACCCAACGCGTTTGTGAAACACTCACATTAAGAAGACTAATAAAATAGAGATTATAAGACATTCGGTAGAAACAACCATACTTTACTTTGCTTAGGATGAAAAACTTAATGGATAGAGAGGTATTTATTCTAGAGGCTAGATAATGTAGACCAAATTTATTCCTAAAATATCTAAATGCTTATTTCCAAAATATTCAGATATCTTTATCCTTAAAATATCTTGATCTTTATTCTTAAAATATCTTGATCTTTATTCTTAAAATATCTTGATATTTATTTCTAAAATATCTATGGCTCATATAGCTTGACCTTATTGGACTAGTGATGATATTGGTCATCTATCTTCTATAATAGTTACGTTGGCATACTTAGGATTTGACTTTCGGATTTTTTGTGACCGTCTAAGTTGTTGAGGTGTCATTTACTTTTTACCGAGTTCGCTTGATTGAGTCATTTGTTCGCCAACATCAGTGCACGTAGATCATCAAATGCATCAACACTACCAAATGTGTGTAGTTTGTTCCCCATCTTTTGTAGTAGAATATTATTCGAGTCTTGTCAAGACTTTCTTCTCTGAGGACCACCGTGAAGATGTTTCATCAAAACTCATCTCTTAAGGTGTAGCATTTTCTACTTGTTGGGTATGTGTAGAACCCAAGCTTGTTCGTCCACACACGCTACCTATACGTGCATGCTCAACCGTTTGTGACCCAACCGACTTAACTCTACACTAGGCCAACTCATTCGGCTCGATCTTGCCTCTACTCAAGGCCGAGGTCTTTCACTATAATGTCGCATCTCAAATTATATTGATTTCCAGTTAACATGTCCCACACATCTTGACATCATCTCAAGTCGTGGGATGTCATTTGCCATCGTAGCTTGCTCAGTCATGCCCATCAAGAATGGGCCCATGCGTTATTCATAATATCGAGAAATCTCGAACATCCATCCAAATTCTATCGAGACATTGGACCCTCTTATATCCATGCTATATCATTTACAAATTCTGTACCGGATAGCGGGTGTATGGTCCAACCTTCGACACATGGGTCGGGGCGCAATGTTGGCACACCTGTGTCGTTCAACACTATCCTTGAAAAATCTATTTCAAAGGAAGTCGTTCGAGACACTTGTTTTGCAACACTCCCTCTCACTGTGACACACGTATGCCTCCCCTCAAGTTACATTTTGAAGTATTTTTGGTATGACAGGTATATATATGATTTTGGCGAACGATTATACAATGTCATGGAACTTTGTTCGATGCTTGATTGACACCAAATTTGGTGAGCTTTCATATTTTATATGGACGGATTTGACTGTAGAACCGCATGTCTAAATTATCTCAAGAATCCTTACTTTTGAGGTTAAGGCTCGAGGCTTTACGTGGCCTTTCATCAAGCCTATCTTTGACACACTTGTCTACATTTGTCACCATGTTGCTTATGCCTCATCTTCTCTTCAATACTCACTTTATATGGTGTGTTGGATGATGCACCGTCCTCCTTGGTCGCATCATGGCACTCGTCTATTTTGGCCGGATGGGGGTGTCACTTGAGTGTCGCCGCTTTGCTTGTCTCAACGTGAGGGTCACAATCTACTCTTTTCATAGTATGATTGTGACACTCGACATCATTAGGAAAAATTCCCTAGTTAGAGCTCAGTACATAGACATGTATGGACTACGGTTATCGTTGTAGAGCAAAGGAGCTCCCCCAGACTTATGAGTACTCCCCTAGGGCTTTTCCATGGAGCACGACTTGAGGCGCAATTCGCGCAAGGTTGACAAAGGGCCTAGACATACATAAAACATTCGAGCTAAGAGAATTAGAAATCCCTTTGAAGTTATGAACCCTAGGTGGGTTAGAGTACTCATTAGACAAGGTATATTCAGGGTTAGTTACGCAGAAACTTGCAAAGGTCAACATAGACATTAAATCACAATTTTGGTTATCTCTAGGAGCATGTATAAGAATAAGTTTGACAAGAACCTACAAGTAAACTACTTGCTAAGTATTTTTATACTCATTCCATGTTATTCTATTTTTTGAGATTAAGCGTAGGGATCCCTAGATCGAGTCTTTTCCATTTGTGTGCTTTTATTATTATTTTAATGTTATCTACTTCTAAAACTCATGCTATTTTGTGAACGGTTTTTAATGTGACTCCAGTGTTTAAATTTTATTTTAACATAAGTTTAAATGCATATTTAAAATTTAAATTTTTTGTGTTCCTCGCTTTACAAAAAGAAAACTTCTACTACTTTTATACCCTTGAGTAAGTCTCGAAAAGTGGGTCATTATATTGATTCTCTATTTGCGCAAGGCGCTATTAGCATCCTCCTCTAGAGACGTAATTTTGCTTTCGCCAACAACTTCCCAAAGGTCTTGTCCTTGTAGGTAAGATATCATGCATGTTGCCACGTGTTGAGCTACAACCACATAGTATTCTAAGAATTCCAAGAGCTTTGACAATCTATACCAACCTCACTTTTTCGTGGAGAACACTAACACTCTACGACCAATCAAGAAAAGATTTATAAAACATTTTGTAGAAACTACTCCACTTTGGGATGAAAAACTTAATGGGATGGAGGGTGAAACAGTGTAAACTAATTTATTCCTAAAATACCTACATCTTTATCCCTTAAATATCTAAATGTTTATTTATAAAATATTTATTATTTCTAAAATACTTAAATAGTTATTCCTAATTTATGGAATATCTTTATTACTAAAATATTTATGGGTTCAACATTGAACTTGATCCTATTAAACTTTTTATAGGTATGTAAAATTGAACTTGATCCTACTAGACTTTTATAGGTATGTAAAAGTTTGTTTTCTGCCATAGCCAAGGATAGCAGTTAAACTTGCACTGGACGACTTTCAAAATTAAATATGCAGGATTTCTTCTCAGTGCTAATACCCTCAAGGCAGATCTCATCTTGGAAATGCATGCAATATAATATACTTTTGCATGTGTAATTGTGTGCTGAAAGTAAATATTACTTTGTCCAAAATCTTATCGCAGTTTTTCTCGTCTGTTTTTTTCTTTTCCAAACGTTGTTTTATCGCAGCAAGGATGAGAGCATACTTCGCAAGTACAAATTGTGATCCAGTGTTTTGCATTGTTTGAAAGTAATAATTTGGAAGATATTTTGGTAGAGGTAGAATCTATGAGAACATTACCCATTGTAGTTCTTCCAGCATCTATTAGGAGCTGATATTGGTCACCTTCAAAGTTGAAGCCAAACACTTTGCAAAAGAAGGCGAGATTAAAACGAATTTCAGATGTGAATGTGACGGGATAAGTTTGAATTAGAGTATTTCATTAAACACGCAGAGGCCCGTTACAATATGACCATAGATAACATTCACCCCTGCATCCAGGATTGTCGGTCTGCACGACAACGATTTATCAGCTTTATGCCTGTATTACGGAGACAAACATTCAAACCGATGTCAGATACCTCAAAAATCCAATTAATCTATTCTATTAATTTTTAAGTGTTCGATAAAATGTGTCAAGATACCCTTGTTTATTTAATTCATATTCTAATTATAGTATACTTTTTAAGATGCAAAACAGTAGTTCAAATAGAAGCTATGGTAATGTTTCTATTTTCAACTAATCTTATCCATGTTTCTACAATTACAAATATAACTCCCAGTCTTCTAAATTATACGAAGATGTCATCTGTCATAAATATTTCGAAATATGTAAATACAAAATTATAGTATCCACATTTTTAAAAGATCACGCCTGCATTTGAATATATATTTTGAATTTCAAACTCACTCCTACTATAATTTTTATTTTTTCCTTTGCTTCAACCATTCTTTGATTCTATAAAGTTTTTGAAATTCTTGAAAATGTTCCGCCCATAAATATATTTTAGTCCTCGAACGCTGATGTCTCACCTCTATTAAGAGGTTTTTTTTTTTTTTTTTAAAAAAAAAAAACTTAATTGGGAGAACTTAAGAAGAAAACTCTAAAATTTTGGCTTTACACATTTTTTTAAGTTAAAAAAGAAAAATTAATTTCTTGTAGCAGTTAATATTATTGTGATAATAAAACCGAAAAGAAATCATGGAAAGTTTAAAGATAGTAATCCAATAAAATATGAAATTCACATGAACCCAAGGAAAGGGCACGTACCTTGTTCGCAATGTTGTTTGAGAGCCAATTTAATCCCTCATAAAGCCCTTCACCGGAGGTTGCACAAGTGCTCTGGATATACCTATTAAACACCACAGACGTTCATCCGACTTCAGAACAATATGTATGATGCAAAATGGTATTGGATGGAAGAACACAAGGATTACCAATGGCGCTGCCGAAGCGAGTGAAGACCAAGCTTATCAGTAATCTCAGCGGCGTTCATTGCATTGGGGAGATCTTGTTTGTTAGCAAACACAAGTAATACGGCATCTCAAAGCTCATCCTGAAGTCAGTGATAACAAAGCATCGACAAATTCCAAGTACAATTAATCATAAAATCTCCAGCGTATGTACATGATAACAAAGCATGCTCAATCCTTGTTTAGTACTAGGCCTAGTTCTAAACCAACGTCATACAGGCTTTAGGTAACTTTGACCTCTGAACAACATATTGATAAATGAAATTGCTTACCAAATTAACTCCAGATCATCTGAACTAAAATTTGTTAAGATATTTGGGGAAAAATATCATCAGAGAAAACAATACAAGGTACAAAGAAACACAATGAACCTCCTATAATTATTCATAGTTCATTCTTGTCTGGTTATCATTGGACAGAATGAAACGAATTTCATATACATATGGCATGTCGTACTAAAATATCATCAGATCTATCCACTAGGAAACTTCTCGTATAGGACTGAATACTTGGATCCAATTATTATTATGTGATGCAACTCCTACATGTAGTATACCGATCATTGTATGGAAAAGAAAAACGAGCCACCATTAATCATCCTTCAACAAGTGATTAAGTGACGAAATTCTAAAGTTCCAATTGTCATATTTAGACGCTAAACACGATAACTCCATTGACATTCAGAGTGTGGTAAGAATGAAACCTACAGATCCTAGCAATGGATCAATGTTAACGAATGATAAATACATTCAGCACACCTCATTCAGCATTCTATGCAATTCGTCCCTTGCCTCAACAACACGGTCTCTATCGTTACTGTCCACCACAAATATAAGACCTTGAGTGTTTTGGAAGTAGTGCCTCCACAATGGACGAATCTGGAAAGATAAATCACATTTATTGGCTACGTAAAAAACACTAAATCATTCATGAATCGATTATATCATAGATAGAAAACTGCGATGAAAAGTTATCCACAGCTAACAAATGATGAAAAATAGACTTCTAAGTTCATACTTTGTCCTGACCACCGACATCCCAAACAGTGAAGCTGATGTTCTTGTATTCCACAGTCTCCACGTTAAATCCTGCAAATAGAGATAAAAATCAATTATAATGTCAAATGTCAGTGTCATGGAATCCAACCACATCAATGAAAACATACATATAATAATAAGACTAGTAGCTCCTCTGAAATGATTAAAAATCTAAGCAGGGCAAAAACATAACTAAACACAAAGAACGAAAGAAAGGGAGGGATACGACGCTTACCGATGGTAGGAATGGTTGTGACAATCTCTCCAAGCTTGAGTTTATAGAGAATGGTCGTCTTACCAGCAGCATCAAGACCAACCATCAGAATTCTCATCTCCTTTTTAGCAAACAGCTGACTGAAGAGTTTTGCGAAGGTCAGTCCCATTTCTGTTTCGTAACCGAGAATTTCCTGCATTTTCAGAGCAAAAATATTACACTCACGAGGAGAATGTCAATGATTACGAACTGGAACAATCGCTGAAATTATTTAAAACATTTTTGTTTCAGAAAAGAGGTTAAATCTCGTGGAAAAAAAAAGACGCCAGCATAATAAATCCAGGGAAGATATATCATGATTCAGTTGCACGGAAAAGAATATGAGCTAATGAATCATATAATGCATGAAGACACAGTACGATCACTAACGTGATCATATGAAGCACCGGTTGGCTCAAACAGTACCTTTGAATAACTAATATTCCATTACCAAGATCTACGAAAAACAGGCAATGAAGCACCGAATAGATCAGATCGGAAATATAGATCCGCCAAACACGTCAAAAAGTTAAAAATCGAACAGAAATCCCTTAACTGAAGTATAAATCGTCAAAATTCTTGAAAATAAAGGAGTTAATTATCAGATGAACCGTAGGCAGCATATAAGAAGTATACCTAAGCTCCAACATACAATCAACAGCAGACAGAAAGCGGAGAAACACAAGAACGAAATGGAACGAATTCATCGCTATATACAGAAGAACTGTAACTCAAAAACAATGAAAGCAGACCAAGATTCAGAAGATTGGAATTACCACTGAGAGCTTCACAGAGAGGTCAGAAGTGTATTGAAAGGGATGGAGAGAACAAAAGAAGGCGAGCTTCAGAACGCGGATTATGGCGCTCGGTTGGAGGACGAGTATTGTTAAGATGGCCTAATAAAGAAGCGACCGATGTGGGACGGAAATACGATTCTACCCCTAAATCGAACTTGCATCTTAAGTCTTCGGTGCTCGTAATACTACCAATCACAAACAGCCACGTCATCCAAGGGGTTGCGCTGTCCCTCGAATCAATGGATGCCAAGTGCCCAGTGTGTGTTTGTGCCAGAAAATTAGAAAATTTTATGTATGCAGCCTGGTGAAGGTAATAACTCTTGGTTCTTTGTTGACTTTTGCAGATAAGAAGGGGTCATGAGGTACACAAACAATTATTATGAAATTAGTTTAGTTTGGACTTGTAGTTTGTAATTTTGTTTCATCCAACACAATCCAAGTTCTAGAATATTCTTTGGCTTCTATCGTTGAAATTTCCTCGAATCACACTTCGTCATCCTTCAATTGTTACTGACAACTTATAACTTGAATCCGAAGTCTCCGTTTTCCAATTGACTATTCTAACCTATACTTAGACCATTCTAAGGAAGTATCCAATTTAATCATCAAAATATTTCATCACTTGCCTCAAATTAAACCTTATTAGACAATACATACTTCAAACATTAATTTCGATCCAAAGAATTAACAAGAAATCATTAATAAAAAATGGAAGTCCATTCTTGTATCCAAACCTATCTTTCTTCTAGCCTTTCATACATAATCCTTAAACTAATTTTTTTTTTAAAAGAATGTCCATTATCAAAACCTTGGGAGTCTAATTTCATACTTTAACCCACAATTCTCGTATCCAAACTTGTTTTTCTTCATTCCTTACACACAACCTTTTATTTTTGCGATCCCTTATTTCTAGATTCCAACAACTCTTCGCTTTCCAATTGTCATTTTTTCAAATTCTTTCATTAATTCTTCCAGGAAACTCATAAACCGTTCTAAGAAAGTACCTTATTTCAACATCATAAAACTTTATTCACTTGCCCTAAATTAAACCTTAATAGATAATACTACCTCAAAATTCTTGTATCCAAACTTATCTTTCTTCCATCCTTTCATACATAACCAACCACTGAACTTAAAAAATTCAAATGATTTTCCATTATAAAAAACTTGGGAGTAACCAAGTTCAAATGATTGTCTATTATCAAAAACTTTGGAATCGGATCTTATACTTTAACCCACAATTCTCGAATCCAAACTTATTTTCCTTCCTTGCATACATAACCATTCAAACCAAAAGATTGTCTTTTATCTAAATTATATAGACCAAATACAATTTAACTTTCTTTAGCACCAATGGAGCATATTCTTTATTCTAGTGCTTCCTTCCTCTACAATTTCTCTAACCTCGTATTGTGATCTCATATTCCTTGATTCCCACTATTCTTCACTTTTCAATTATCCTTGATTCAAATTCTTTTATATTTCTTATGGCATGTGACTTTTATTCTTTGATACATATAGTCCCCCATTTACCACATAGGTGGATATTTTTCCTCTTTAAGTAAGGATATCATCTCATTTAATTCTTCAAGAGAACTCATAGATCATTCTAAGAAAGTACCCTATCTCACCATCATAATAATTTATTCATAGACCATTCCAAGAAAGTACTCAATTTCTTTGGTCACATTATGAAACCATATATGCAAAAAAAAAATCTTGGTGGGAGGGGCATGTTCGTAATTATTGTGTCCTTCATGAGCATTTTTGTAATTTGCCATTTATAATATTTTACTCTAAAAATTCTTGATCATATTTTGGTCCATTTTTCCTTCATCTTGAAATTCCATCTCCATCAAGAATTAGAAATAGGAGAAATTTACTTGAGACTGAAAAAAAAATGACCTTTTTTTTCTTTTATACTTACTATTTCCTTTTCAAACCTTTCTCAAAGGCTTGGAATCCTTATAATTCCCTTGCTAGGGAATTGAAAATCTCTTTTTTGAGCTCATTAATCTTCCTTGGGTCTCTTAATCCTTTTTTTTGAATCCCTTAAACCATTCATGGGCACCTTAAACTTACTCGATTATCTTAATCTTACTTGGGCTCTTACAAATTCTCCCCCTCTTAAGAACATTCGTCCCCGAAAGTTCACTTTTCTTACCATGCCTTAGAGGAGTTCTTGGTCTTAGTTATGTCCTTCCAAGTTCTTTGAGGGTCCATGCATGGGGTTGTCCTTCTCTAGCATGTCTTTCTAATTTTCCCTTGTGGCCTTTTATCCTGCCTTAAGACCATATACTTATTCTGGTCTTTGTTTTTCTCGACTAATTTGTTAACATCCTTTGTTGAGATTACAAGTCTTTCTTGGTAATCCTTGTGTTTTTCCTTATATCTTGGAGCATATTTTCTTGTTCCTTCTTGTACTAGAGGCTTATTTGTGGGTTCTTAGGGTCTTAAGTACTTCTTTCCTTCTTTAATTGGAGTAAATACTATTCCTTTTTCAAACCTTTCTCAATGGCTTGAATCCATACAATTCCTTGCTAGGACATTGAAAATCTCTTCCTTTGGCCCATTAACTTTTCTCGGTCTCTTAATCCTTTTTTTGACCCCTTAAATCTTTCTTGAGCACCTTAAACTTACCGAGTATCTTAATCTTACTTGGGCTCTTACAAATTCTCCCCCTTTTAAAAACTTTCATCCTCAAAAGTTCATTTTTTTTAACATGCCTTCGGGGAGTACTTGGTCTTAGTTATGTCCTTCCAAGTTCCTCGAGAACCCTTGCATGGGTTTGTCATTCTACGACATGTTTTTCTAATTTGCCCTTGTGGCCTTTAGTCCTGCCTTAAGATTATGTACTTATTGTGGTATTTGTTTTTCTTGACGGTCTTCTTAACATCTTTTATTGAGATTACAAGTCATTCTTGGTCATCCTTGTGTTTTTCCTTATATCTTGGAGCATATTTCCTTCCTTGTACCCAACAAGTTTTGACATAATCAACCTTCTTCCTTCTTATACAAGGCTTATTGGTTTATTGGTGGATTGTTTTAGTCTTAAGTCCTTCTTTCCTTCCTTCATTCTATTTGTTTTTCAAACCTTCTCGAAGGCTTATCCTTATAATTCCTTGCTAGGACATTGAAAATCTCTTTGGCCCAATAACCTTCCTTGGGTCTCTTAATCCTTTTTTTTTTTTTTTGATCCCTTAAACCTTTTTTTGACACCTTAGACTTACCTTAGACTTACCTGTATCTTAATCTTACTTGGAAAATTCTCCCCCTCTAAAAAAATTTGTCCTTGAAAGTTCACTTTTCTTACCATGCCTTGGGGGAGTTCTTGGTCTTAGTTACGTCCTTCCAAGTTCCACAAGGGTCCTTGCATGGGTTTGTCCTTCTCTGACATGTTTTTCTAATTTGCCCTTGTGGCCTTTTGTTCTGCCTTAAGGCCGTGTACTTATTCTGGTATTTGTTCTTGTTGACTGTCATCCCGACATCCTTTGTAGACATTACAAGTCTTTCTTGGTCATCCTTGTGTTTTTCCTTAGACTGTCATCCCGACATCCTTTGTAGACATTACAAGTCTTTCTTGGTCATCCTTGTGTTTTTCCTTAGATTTTGGAGCATATTTCCTTCCTTGTACCCAACATGTTTTGACATAATCAACCTTCTTCCTTCAAGGTTGTATNGACTGTCATCCCGACATCCTTTGTAGACATTACAAGTCTTTCTTGGTCATCCTTGTGTTTTTCCTTATATATTGGAGCATATTTCCTTCCTTGTACCCAACAAGTTTTGACATAATCAACCCTCTTCCTTCAAGGTTGTATCTTAGAGATTTCTCTTGTTCCTTCTTCTACAAGGCTTATTGGTGGGTTCTTAGGGTCTTAAGTTCTTCTTTCCTTCTTTCCTTGGAGTAAATAAAATTTCCTTTTCAAACCACATAATTCCTTGCTAGGGCATTGAAAATCTCTTCCTTTTGCCCATTAACCTTCTATGGGTCTCTTAATCCTATTGTTCGATCCCTTAATCTTTTCTTGGGCATCTTAAACTTACTCGATTATCTCTTAATCTTACTTGAGGGTCCTTGGGGGAGTTCTTGGTCTTAGTTACGTCCTTCCAAGTTCCTTGAGGGTCCTTACATGGGTTTGCCTTCTCTGACAAGTTTTTCTAATTTGCCCTTGTGGCCTTTTGTTCTGCCTTAAGGCCGTGTACTTATTCTGGTATTTGTTCTTGTTGACTGTCATCCCAACATCCTTTGTAGACATTACAAGTCTTTCTTGGTCATCCTTGTGTTTTTGTTGACTGTCATCCCAACATCCTTTGTAGACATTACAAGTCTTTCTTGGTCATCCTTGTGTTTTTCCTTAGATTTTGGAGCATATTTCCTTCCTTGTACCCAACATGTTTTGACATAATCAACCTTCTTCCTTCAAGGTTGTAGGAGCATATTTCCTTCCTTGTACCCAACATGTTTTGACATAATCAACCTTCTTCCTTCAAGGTTGTATCTTAAAGACTTCTCCTGTTCCATCTTCTACAAGACTTATTGGTGGGCTCTTAGGGTCTTAAGTTCTTTCCTTCTTTCCTTCTTTCCTGGGAGTAAATAAAATTTATTTTTCAAACCACATAATTCCTTGCTATGGCATTGAAAATCTCTTCCTTTTGCCCATTAACCTTCTATGGGTCTCTTAATCCTTTTGTTCGATCCCTTAATCTTTTCTTGGGCATCTTAAACTTACTCGAGTGTCTCTTAATCTTACTTGGTCTCTTACAAATATCCCCCCTTTTAAAAAAATTTGTCCTCGAAAGTTCACTTTTCTTACCATGCCTTGGGTGAGTTCTTGGTCTTAGTTATGTCCTTCCACGTTCCTTGAGGGTCCTTGCATGGGTTTGTCCTGCTCTGACATGTTTTTCTAATTTGCCCTTGTAGCATTTTGTTCTGCCTTAAGGCCGTGTACTTATTCTGGTATTTGTTCTTGTTGACTGTCATCCCAACATCCTTTGTAGACATTACAAGTCTTTCTTGGTCATCCTTGTGTTTTTCCATATATATTGGAGCATATTTCCTTCCTTGTACCCAACAAGTTTTGACATAATCAANAACATCCTTTGTAGACATTACAAGTCTTTCTTGGTCATCCTTGTGTTTTTCCTTAGATTTTGGAGCATATTTCCTTCCTTGTACCCAACATGTTTTGACATAATCAACCTTCTTCCTTCAAGGTTGTATCTTAAAGACTTCTCCTGTTCCATCTTCTACAAGACTTATTGGTGGGCTCTTAGGGTCTTAAGTTCTTTCCTTCTTTCCTTCTTTCCTGGGAGTAAATAAAATTTATTTTTCAAACCACATAATTCCTTGCTATGGCATTGAAAATCTCTTCCTTTTGCCCATTAACCTTCTATGGGTCTCTTAATCCTTTTGTTCGATCCCTTAATCTTTTCTTGGGCATCTTAAACTTACTCGAGTGTCTCTTAATCTTACTTGGTCTCTTACAAATATCCCCCCTTTTAAAAAAATTTGTCCTCGAAAGTTCACTTTTCTTACCATGCCTTGGGTGAGTTCTTGGTCTTAGTTATGTCCTTCCACGTTCCTTGAGGGTCCTTGCATGGGTTTGTCCTGCTCTGACATGTTTTTCTAATTTGCCCTTGTAGCATTTTGTTCTGCCTTAAGGCCGTGTACTTATTCTGGTATTTGTTCTTGTTGACTGTCATCCCAACATCCTTTGTAGACATTACAAGTCTTTCTTGGTCATCCTTGTGTTTTTCCATATATATTGGAGCATATTTCCTTCCTTGTACCCAACAAGTTTTGACATAATCAAACTTCTTCCTTCCAGGTTGTATGTTAGAAACTTCTCTTGTTCCTTCTTCTACAAGGCTTATTGATGGGTTCTTAGGGTCATAAGTTCTTCTTTCCTTCTTTCCTTGGAGTAAATAAATTTTTTTTGAACGCATCTTAAACTTACTCGATTATCTCTTAATCTTACTTAGGTCTCTTACAAATATCTCCCCTTTTAAAAACTTTCGTCCTCGAAAGTTCACTTTTCTTACCATGCCTTGGGGGAGTTTTTGGTCTTAGTTACGTCCTTCCAAGTTCCTTAAGGGTCCTTATATGGATTTGTCCTTCTCTGTCATGTTTTTCTAATTTGACCTTGTGGCCTTTTGTTTTACCTTAAGGCCATGTACTTATTCTGGTATATGTTCATGTTGACTGTAATCTAAACATACTTTGTAGAGATTACAAGTTTTTCTTGTTCATCGGTGTGTTTTTCCTTATATCTTGGAGCATATTTCCTTCCTTGTACCCAACAAGTTTTTACATAATTAACCTTCTTCCTTCACAGTTGTATCTTAGAGACTTCTCTTGTTCCTTCTTCTACACGACTTATGGGTGGGTTTCTTAGGGTCTTAAGTTCTTCTTTCCTGGAGTAAATACAATTTATTTTTCAAATCTTTTTCAATGGCTTGAATCCACATAATTCCTTGGTCGCATTGAAAATCTCTTCGTTTTGTCCATTAAACTTCTTTGGGTCTCTTAATCCTTTTGTTAGATCTCGTAATCCTTTCTTTGGCAACTTAAACTTACTCGAGTATCTCTTAATCTTACTTGGTCTCTTACAAATTCCCCCCTCTTAAAAACTTTCATCCTCATAAGTTCACTTTTCTTACCATGCCTGGGGGAGTTCTTGGTCTTAGTTACGTCCTTCCAAGTTCCATAAGGGTCCTTGCATGGGTTTGTCCTTCTCTGACATGTTTTTCTAATTTGCCCTTGTGGCCTCTTGTTCTGCCTTAAGGCCATGTACTTATTCTTGTATTTGTTCTTCTTAACTATCATCTCAACATCATTGGTTGAGATTACAAGTCTTTCTTGGTCATTCTTGTGTTTTTCCTTATATCTTCGAGCATATTTCCTTCCTTGTACCCAACAAGTTTTTACATAATCAACCTTCTTCCTTCAAGGTTGTATCTTAGAGACTTCTCTTGTTCCTTCTTCTACCAGGCTTATTGGTGGGTACTTAGGGTCTTAAGTCCTTTACTTCTTTCCTTGGAGTAAATACAATTTCTTTTCCAAACCTTTTTAAATGGCTTGAGTCCACATAAGTCCTTGCTAGAGCACTGGAAATTATCTTCCTTTTTACTATTAACCTTCTTTGGGTCTCTTAATCCTTTTGTTCGATACCTTAATCCTTTCTTGAGCACCTTAAACTTACCCTTGTATCTCTTAATCTTACTTAGTCTCTTACAAATTCTCCCCCTTTTAAAAAATTTCACCCTCGAAAGTTTACTTTTCTTACCATGCCTTGTGGGAGTTCTTGGTCTTAGTTATGTCCTTCAAAGTTCCTTGAGGGTGGGCATGGGTTTGTCCTTCTATGACATGCTTTTCTAATTTGCCCTTGTGGCCTTTTGTTCGGCCTTAAGGCCATGTACTTATTCTGGTATTTGTTCCTGTTGCCTGTCATCTCAACATCCTTTGTTGAGATTACAAGTCTTTCTTGGTCATCCTTGTGTTTTTCCTTATATCTTGGAGCATATTTCCTGCCTTGTACCCAACAAGTGTTGACATAATCACCTTCTTCCTTCAAGGTGTATCTTAGAGACTTCCCTTGTTCCTTTTTGTACAAGGCCTATGGGTGTGTTCTTAGGGTCTTATGTCCTTCTTTCCTTCTTTTCTAGGAGTAAATACTATTTCTTTTTCAAACCTTTTTCAATGGCTTGAATCCACATAATTTCTTGCTAGGGCATGGAAAATCTATTCCTTTTAATCATTAACCTTTTTTGGGTCTCTTAATCCTTTTGTTTGATCCCTTGATCCTTTTTTGGGCACCTTAAACTTACCCAAGTATCTCTTAATCTTACTTGGTCTCTTACAATTTCTCTCCATTTTAAAAACTTTCCTCCTCAAAAGTTCACTTTTCTTAACATGCCTTGGGGGAGTTCTTGGTCTTAGTTATGTCCTTCAAAGTTCCTTGAGGGTCCTTGCATGTGTTTTTCCTTCTCTGACATGCTTTTCTAATTTGTCCTCGTGGCCTTTTGTTCTACTTTTAGGCAATGTACTTATTCTGGTATTTGTTTTTGTTGTCTGTCATCTCAAAATCCTTTGTTAAGATTACAAGTCTTTCTCGGTCATCCTTGTATTTTTCCTTATATCTTGGAGCATATGTCCTTCCTTGTACCCAACAAGTTTTTACATAATCAAACTTCCTTCAAGGTTCTATAGAACTTCTCTTGTTCCTTCTTCTACAAGGCTTATTGTTGGGTTAAAAGACAATTTCTTTCCTTGGACTAAATACAATTTCTTTTTCAAACATCTTTCAATGGCTTGAATCCACATAATTCTTTCCTACCATTAAAAATCTCTTCCTTTTGCCCATTAACCTTTTTAGGGTCTCTTAATCCTTTTGTTAGATCCCTTAATCCTTTTTTAGGTACCTTAAACTTACCCGAGTATCTCTTAATCTTACTTCTTCTCTTACAAATTCTACCCCTTTTAAAACTTTCGTCATCGAAAGTTCACTTTTCTTACCATGCCTTGGAGAGTTCTTTGTCTCAGTTATGTCCTTCAAAGTTCCCTGAGGGTCCTTGCATGGGTTTGTCCTTCTCTGACATGCTTTTCTAATTTGATGCCTTAAGGTCATGTACTTATTATGGTATTTGTTTTTGTTGCCGGTCATCTCAACATCCTTTGTTGAGATTATAACTCTTTCTTGGTCATCCTTGTGTTTTTCCTTATATCTCGGAGCATGTTTCCTTCCTTGTACCCAACAAGTTTTGACATAATCAACCTTCTTTCAAGGTTGTACCTTAGAGACTTCTCTTGTTCCTTCTTCTACAAAGCTTATTGGTGGGTTCATACGGTCTTAAATCCTTCTTTCCTTCTTTCCTTGGAGTAAATACAAGTTCTTTTTCAAACATTTTTCAATGGCTTGAATCCACATAATTCCTTACTAGAGCATAGAAAATCTCTTCCTTTTGCCCATTAATCTTCTTTGGGTTTCTTAATCCTTTTGTTAGATCCTTAATCCTTTCTTGGGTACCTTAAACTTACCCGAGTATCTCTTAATCTTACTTAGTCTCTTACAAATTCTCACCCTCTTAATAACTTTCCTCCCTGAAAGTTCACTTTTCTTACCATGCCTTGGGGGAGTTCTTGGACTTAGTTATGTCCATCAAAGTTCTTTGAGAGTCCTTGCATGGGTTTGACCTTCTTTGACATGTTTTACTAATTTTCCCTTGTGGCCTTTTGTAATGCCCCAAGGCCATGTACTTGTATTTATTCTTGTTGACTGACCGTCATTTCAACATCCTTTATAGAGATTACAAGCCTTTCTTGGTCATACTTGTATTTATTCTTGTTGACTGACCGTCATCTCAACATCCTTTATAGAGATTACAAGCCTTTCTTGGTCATCCTTGTATTTTTTCTTATATATTGGAGAATATTTCCTTCCTTGTACCCAACAAGTTTTGTCAAAATTAACCTTCTGTTATCTCAACATCCTTTGAAGAGATTACAGGTCTTTCTTGGTTATCCTTGTGTTTTCCTTATATCTTGGAGCATATTTCCTTCCTTGTACTCAAACAAGTTTTGTCAAAATCAACCTTCTTCCTTCAAGGTTGTATCCGGGAGACTTCTCTTGTTCCTTCTTCCACAAGGCTTATTGTTGGGTTCTTAGAGTCTTAAGTCCTTCTTTCCTTCTTTCCTTTGGAGTAAATACAATTTCTTTTTCAAACATTTTCAATTTCTTGAATCCACATAATTCCTTGCTAGGGTATTTAAAATCTCTTCCTTTTGCCCATTAACCTTCTTTGGGTCTCTTAATCCTTTTGTTAGATTCTGTAATCCTTTCTTTGGCACCTTAAACTTACCCGAGTATCTCTTACTCTTATTTGTTCTCTTACAAATTCTCCGCCTTTTAAAAACCTTCGTCTTCAAAGGTTCACTCTTCTTACTATGGGGGAGTTCTTGGTCTTAGTTATGTCCTTCCAAGTTTCTTGAGGGTCGTTGCATGGGTTTATCCTTCTCTGACATGTTTTTCAAATTTGCCCTTGTGGCCTTTTATTCTGCCTTAAGGCCATGTACTTATTCTTGCATTTGTTCTTGTTGACGGTCATCTTAACATCCTTTGTAGAGATTACAAGTCTTTCTTGGTCATCCTTGTGTTTTTCCTTATATCTTGGAGGATATTTCCTTCTTTGTACCCAACCAGTTTTGTCATAATCAACCTTCTTCCTTCACTGTTATATCTTGGAGACTTCTTTTGTTGCTTCTTCTTTGAGGCTTATTGGTGGGTTCTTAGGGTCTTTAAGTCCTTCTTTCCTCCTTTCCTTGGAGTAATTACAATTTCTTTTTCAAACCTTTTGCAATGGCTTGAAACCACATCATTCCTTGCTAGAGCAATGAAAATCTCTTCCTTTTGCCCTTTAAGCTTCTTTGGGTCTCTTAATCCTTTTGTTAGATCCGTTAATCCTTTCTTGAGCACCTTAAACACACCCGAGTATCTCTTAATTGTACTTGGTCTCGTACAAATTCTCTCTTCGTCCTCGAAAGTTCACTTTTCTTACCATGGGGGAGTTCTTGGTCTAAGTTATGTCCTACAAAGTTCCTTGAGGGTCCTTGCATGGGTTTTTCCTTCTCTGACATGTTTTTCTAATTTGCCTTTGTGGCCTTTTATTCTGCCTTTAAGGCCATGTACTTATTCCGGTATTTATTCTTGTTGACAATTATCTCAACATCCTTTGTAGAGATTACAAGTTTTTCTTGTTCATCAGTGTGTTTTTCCTTATATCTTGGAGCATATTTCCTTCCTTGTACCCAGCAAGTTTTGACATAATCAACCTTCTTCCTTCATGGTTGTATCTTAGAGACTTCTCTTGTTCCTTCTTCATTAAGTCTTATTGATGGGTTCTAAGGGTCTCAAGTTCTTCTTTCCTTCTTTCCTCGGAGTAAATACAATTTCTTTTTCATTGGCTTGAATCCACATAATTCCTTGCTAGGGCATTGAAAATCTCTGCCTTTTGACCATTAACCTTCTTTGGGTCTCTTAATCCTTTTATTAGATCCCTTAATCCTTTCTTGGGTACCTTAAACTTACTCGAATATCTCTTAAATCTTACTTGGTCTCTTACAAATTCTCCCCCTTTTCAAAACTTTCATCTTCGAAAGTTCACTTTTCTTACCATGCCTTGGGGGGAGTTCTTGGTCTTAGTTAAGTCCATCCAAGTTCCTTGAGGGCCCTTGCATGGGGTTTATCCTTCTCGGACATGTTTTTCTAATTTTCCCTTATGACCTTTTGTTTTGTCTTAAGGCCATGTACTTAATTTGGTATTTGTTCTTGTTGACTATCATCTCAACATCGTTGAGATTACCGTCTTTCTTGGCCATCTTTGTGTTTTTCCTTATATATTGGAGCATATTTCCTTCCTTGAACCCAACAAGTTTTTATATAATCAACCTTCTTCCTATAAGGTTGTATCTTAGAGACTTCTCTTATTCCTTCTTCTTCAAGGCTTATTGGTGGGTTCTTAAGTCCTTCTTTCCTTCTTTACTTGGAGTAAATACAATTTCTTTTTCAATGGCTTAAATCAACATAATTCCTTGCTAGGGCATTGAAAATCTCTTCCTTTTGCCCATTAACCTTTTTTGGGTCTCTTAATCCTTTCTTTGGCACCTTAAACTTACTTGAGTATCTCTTAATCTTACTTGGTCTCTTACAAATTCTCTCCTTTTTAAAAACTTTTGTCCTCGAAAGTTCATTTTTCTTACAATGGGGGAGTTCTTGGTCTTAGTTATGTCCTACCAAGTTCCTTGAGGGTCCTTGCATGAGTTTGTCCTTCTCTGACATGTTTTTCTAATATGTTTTTCTAATTTTCCCTTATGGCCTTTTGTTCCGCCTTAAGGCCATATACTTATTCTTGCATTTGCTCTTGTTGACCGTCATCTCAACATCCTTTGTAGAGATTGCAAGTCTTTCTTGGTTAGCCTTGTGTTTTTCCTTATATCT